ATACTTTGATTAAGGTATTTCCCTTCGAAACAAATAAATTTTGGAGACGAAAAACGGCAGATATTAAGTTTAACACGTAATATATGTATGCACAAGTATATTACCGCTTGCAAATTATGATTTATTAAATTTATTAAGATAGAAACTTAATTGAAAATCAACTAAAAAATGAGAATAAGAAATATAATAATGTAAAGATTGTACAAGATAAAAATTTTTTATAATACACTTGAAAACAAAAATACTTTTATTTATAATTATCTTTTCGTCAACAAGTACAAACCACAAATCTTCATATTACAAATAGTTACATATCGTCCGAGTTTAATGATACCATTACCGTAATGTAGGAAGCGGATGTTTTCATGAGCTTAAAAATATAATACTATGTTAAAATGTATATTTTTTATATATAATTTTGAGTATGCAAAATTGAATAAAATATTTTTTTATATTTTGGGCATTGTTAAAAAATAAATTATTTATACAAATTTGAGATTTACTTAATTTTGTAGCTGATATTCATATACTGCATTTTATCATACCGAGCCGTAATTTTCCAAGCAGATTACGTATAATTTCGCCATAGTTATGTGATATGGTTTTTGACATTTCATTAATAGAAATAATAACATTTTTTTTGCTTCCGAACACGTTTGATACCACATTCCGTTATATCTAAAAGTTTTATAATTATCAAATTAGTCATCGTTACTAATTAATTACATTGATAACTTACGCGGCAACAGAAATTTGAGAACTCTGATCTATAATTTTCTGTCCTAACCAGCTATTGAAGAAGAATCGAAGAGATTGAATAAGTACGAGTGGACCGTTTCTTACCAATTCCGTACGAGTCACGATCTGTGAAAATTCCATATTAGCGATCTGTTTTAAATCAATCGGAAGAAAACATATTTCTTCATGGCATGTATTAGTGGATCAGTATAGTTTATTAAATTGATAGATATGAATTGTGTCTAGGATATTTATTATTTATTACCATCACACACGCAGTACATTGAAGTAGAATTCCTAAACCAATGTCGGTGATAAGACATGTCGCGAACGTCGACTCAATCAAGTAGATTAGTCTATTGGTTACAAATAGAGATAGAAAAATCCGTATCATATATTTGTAATCTTTTCTGATAGACTTTAACTTTGTTCAATTTATAAAAACCTCTCTATTCTGATTTGAAGTTGTATACAATTCACCATATTCTCAACATCCCTATCCGCTTTAAATGTGGGATCGAAACATTTTTTCGATTTATCGTGTGTAGCCAACCTTTTCAAACGATAACTGTAAGTATATAGTCATATACATAATAATAAAATTTTATTTTTTTATAAACCGATAGGTAAAGTAAAGTAAATTTAGAATACCTCAGTATAGCTAAAGTACCACAGGTATGTTGCAGCAGGGCGAGATAGATGGTGTCGGTTGCTACTATTACCGTACAGCATACACTGTATCCCACAATCGTTAATGCCAAAAGAATATAATAATATTTTTCCATATCCAAAAAGAATTCCGTCGGGTGTGGCATGCGCTTTGTTCTTGTTACATTTGACATCAGTATACTGTCAAGTAACGGTACGGTGAGTGGTGCCGTCACGAAACTAGCTGCGCCCGTGAGAGTAAAAACTAGTAAAAGGAATTGTATTTCTATGCAACATAATTGCTTAGAAAAACGATCATTGGGTATACTTATCGTTAGATGTACTTAAGAAGACCAGCGTAAACATCCGACTTCTCTCCATATATTCCATCAAAATCCAAATATCGTTGTATTTCGCTAATAAGCACCAATCGTGACAAACATGCTGAATGAGCATCCTAAACTACAGTTATGGCAATTTTTCTTAGACGAAAAATAACATTATGCATTGTGGCATACTTACTTTTACAGTCTGCCACTGAAGCCCAATTGTTTTCAAGAGACATATACATGTGCCAAGAAAAGTTGGTAGAACATCGTAAAAGTCGTTCAAGCGTCTCATACGTTTGAACAAGAATGCAATCTGTTATTAAAAAATCATATCGTAGCTAATGTGGAATTTATAACTTTTTATGTACCATGATAAAGTAATTCGAATAGCGCAGAAATCGCTAATAATTTCAGAAAATTTATAATAAATTCCAATATTGATTCGCTCTTACGATTTTTTTCTAACTCGCGTGCAAGAATTTGTACCTGCGGCAGTAATAGAATCAATATACCAAATAATGTACAACAAAGACGTTTATTTTTGTTGGACGTTGATTGCATTGGCCACAAGCCGAAGAAAGACAACAAAAATTTGTTAACTCGAAAATATCGGGTATCAAAGACGTCCATTCCTGACTGATTCGTGTTGAAGCGGAAATCTTGTATAGCTGAAGGTGAAGTCTCCGCACGGTTCATTTGATATTCTCTTGGGGTGTCGATGCGTTCACAAAGAAATATACGTATAATATATTGAATTAAATGGAATCAGTAATAAAAGGGAAACGCCTCCCGCAAGCGAGCGACACGCAGAGTCCTACAATTTTAATTTCACATGCCACTAATATTGTATAAAGCATTGCATAAAGCAACACAGATGATAGCGTTTAATTCTGAATAATATATTCGCTTTTGTAAAACATAGAAGACAGCAGTTATACTCCACATAGTCCGTCGCCATACGTCCATTATTTTAGATATATATTTCTATACTATGAAATAAAAAATATTATCATTTATGAAGTGGTTAAAATCAATAATTTGATTTACAGCAAATATAGTTGTGCAGTAATGGATTGTTTATTTGACAGAAACATACCTAAACAGTTTAAAACAATATCAAAAGATAATTCTATTATTGTAAATACAAAAGCTGATTATAAGAATATCTATTAGATAATTAGATTATTGTAATATGAGAAATAAATATTGTATAAAAAACCGGTATAAATATATGATATATTTAACACATAACATACTAAAATTTATATTTTTCTTTAATATTTAATAACGTGTATGACATACTACCAACTGCAAAATTCATGATGATTATTTGCTGCTTCATTCTTCACGCATTGACAACATTACCATGCAATATGTGAGTGACGCTTTCATTATCTTCAAAAAGCATTACATATTACTTTGATGTAGTATGCGTAACAAAGATGTTTTAATGTAATGACACATAAAATATATAAAGACCATACATCATAGACTATATATTTTAGAATCTATAGGAAATTATTTTGTCGGATTTTCATGATATTTTGAAAACAATTAATTATTGTCATATTTTTTTATCTTAATGACATAAATATTATGATACATATGAATGGTCTGTACGATCCAGTTTTTCTATTTTCAGAAAACTATAAAAATTAGAAAGACATAAAACAAGCTCGTAATATTATTACCACAGTGAAGTTTTCTAGATTCATGACGAAGGACTTCGCCACCTTTATTTCACTGATGATCTGACTCCTTATGATTAGCATTAAAAGCATCTTTTTCGCCGTGTTTGATGTCTCATACCACGCTCCATTATATCTGAAAGTTTAAGTTTATATAAATGAAAATAAATGAAGATAAAATTTGCAATAACTTACGCAGAAATGTACACATCAATACTATGATCCGTTATTTGCTGCCCCTGCCAACCATAAAAAAAAAGACGAGCAGTTTGGCAAACCACCAGCGCGACATATATTATAATTTCGGCTGCTTTATTTATTTGAAGTACACTCTACGATATAACGTCAGATTATCCTTACAGATTAGATTGGAATTTTTATCTTGATTTTTGTTAATTTTAGAATTTTACCATTGTGCATAAAGTACAGTGCATCACGAAGCCTAGACTGACCTCAAAAAATAAATATATCGCGAACGTACTGTTGATTAGCTCTATAAACCTTAAATTAATATAATTTTGTATTAACCCCTTAATTTTAATACAACACTTTTGAATTCTAATATTTATACTAACGCTTTTATTTTTATGTGCAGGAGGATACATCGAATCAAGTGCTGGACAATGTTATTTTGCTTCGAAGAAGAATCGTGATGAGCTTCTTGCTTTGACCGACCTTGGACTATATTCTTCAAATGGTAACTATCTCAGACAGCACACAATATTTATAAAACAATTTACAAAATATTTGTAAGATTTATCTTCAATATTTTGTAAATGTTTATGTGATCTTAGATTGCATAAATCATAAATATTTATTTTAAATGTTATAAAATATTTATTGTACATATTATGTAATAAATATCATAAAAATATTTAATAAGACATTATAATCCAAGAAAAAATATTTACTAAAATATTTATTTAAAAATATTCATTAAACGTATTTATTTATATTTATCATAAATATTTTGTGCTGTCTGGAATGTAAAATATATTTACTAATAATTGAAATATCAAATTAATAAAAAGATTTTTTCGAGACAAGAACGCTAAGTGTTTTTTTGCGGGATCAATATTAGTCACTTTAGGAATATATTATTAGTTAGAATTTTTAACTACAAAATTTAATTACACATACTATATGTTTCGACCTTTAGGTTGGTCATTTTCAATGAAAACATAACAGCGCGATGGTTACGTCAAAACATGAAATTCCATTGAAATCCAACAAGTTGATTAAATACAGCAAAGATTGTCCTTTTCTAGGCACTCTCCATTAATACAATCATATCACACTTGATTATATTAATTATAATATATAGTTGTATGAAATATGCTTAGTGAGAATAGGTATTGAACTTGCATTTCAATGAAATTTTATATTATGACGTGACCACCACTTGTGTTTTCACTAAAGATGATCAAATTAAAGGTTGAAACGTATGAATAATTAAACTTTGTAGTTGCATTCTAACTAATATATATTGAATCCGCAAAAAAACTAGCGTTGTTGCCTCAAAAAAGCCCTTTTATTAATTGAATATTTTAATTATTAATTCTATTAAGCCATTTTGCATTTTTAATTATTATTTACTAATGTATAAATATGATACATTTAAAAAATACTTATAATTGTACCATAGTCGTCAGAAAAATTCTGTGGACTATAATATAATTAATTAATTAAAAGGTTGCAATTATATTGAACAATTATTCTGATAACTATAAATCTTAAGAAAAATTTGAGATCTCTTTATGCTACACTGTACAATTATAGATAATTTGTAAATAATAATGGATAAATAATAATAATTTAAATAAATTGTACTCAACTACAAAACAGTTCGTACTTTAAGATATCGAACAATGCGCAAGCATGTTCTATAAAGGCGAAATAGATTGTATCAATTGCCAATGTAACCACACAAGCCATGAAGTAACCATAATACATAATTGTGAGCAGAATATAGTAATATTTTTCGTGATCGACCAGCATTTCGGCTGGATATATAAATTTTTTTGGTCTCGTTATGTTTAGCGGTGATACAACATCGAGTAGTGGGTTGACAAGCGGCAATAATGCAAAACCGATCACGAACGTAGCCATCCAAACTAAACGAAATAATTACAATAAATAATAATACGTACGGACACAAACACGGAAAGAACGATTTTATTGAAATACTATATCTAAAGAAATTAGCTAAATACAAATCTGAAAATAATTTTATCGAACTATCAAAATAATTATATAGAACATTTATATATAAACTGGTTATTAAAATATCAAAAATTTTTGCAGCATTGCTCGTCATACTTGAATTTCCTACATAATTATTTTGATAATCCAACAAAGTTATTAGATTTGTATCTACTTAAATTTTGAACTCTTTAAAGGGACCAATACATATAATTTATGTACATTTATTTTAAGTTATTGCCACAGATTTCTATAAATAGACTGCCGACTTTTTCATGTTTAAAAATAGCGTCATATTTGTATTCACTTACTGTCACATGTATAAATAACATAGTGTTTCACATAAATTCACGCGATACTCACAGACAGGATGCATACACGGAGAAAATTTTATATTTAAAATTACTATAATGTGATAGTAGCTGCAGTCTTCATGTAAATTATAAGTTTAAATGCTATAATTATTTTTTTAAAAACAACAATACAACGTAATTTTTACACTTTTTTATAGTAAATTTTATAGTAAAATTTTTTTTTATTACAAAATCAAATCTTGTTGAATGAAAGTTAGTATTGTAAAGATAAATAAAAAATATATACCTAGCAAATTTTGTTTGCGTACCATAGTAAACTGTTTTCATGTTAGAATATGGCTTAACAAAATAATTACTTTATTTATGTGATAAAAATTAGTATCACCATAGTAAAAGTTAAGTCGGAATTATGTGAGGGTCTATACGAAAATTCAAGACATATAGTAAAGTGTAATTTAAAATTATATTAAAACTTAATATAAATTTTTCTCCGTGTACATACACATATGTGAACTGAAATAAGGACAACTCTGAATCAGGTTCATCTCTTTCTATCATATTAAATCAGCAGTCTAGTTATAGAAGTCTGTGATTCTTCTCAAATGTTTTGTATCAATGCAATAGTGACTCTGTCCATATAATCCTCTTAATTCACACTCAAAAAGTTTGGAATATCCTATATAAACATGATTATACATAATTATGTTTAATAATTATGTATAAATTATGTATATTTTCAGAAAATCATATTTCTTGATCAATTTTATTCGATTTACAAAATTCATCAAAAAAATTTTTTTAAATCATATGAAGAAAAACATTTTATTTAAACGGAATCAGTGTCTGAGTCTTAAAGGATTAAAAACTCAGTAAAATCATTCTTTCTATGTAAATAACTCACCATTGATTGATTTATCACACCTGTATATGTCGATGTAAATCTCCATGATACTTCCATATAATTTCTAAAAATTTGTTCCGCTTTCTTCGAGACATTCGTCCAATCGTCACGAAATTGTTGAAACAAATCTTTAAACTAATTATAAGAAAACGTATTATTTGAACCAAGATTTGCAGCTATACGATCTACAATTGCAATATTCGTAAAAATGCTTACCTTTTCAAAGTGATAAATTAAACTAGCAAATTTTGCTCCGCACGATACTGCACCGGACATCGTAGGTAAGAGTTCGATTATATGATCCAGATCGTTCGGGTGTTTGAATATGAACAAAAACTGACCAATTATTTGATCACATATTTTAATGTTTACTTTAATGATTACTTTATTTCGCAAATTGTATTAAATGTAATTTGTAATTCACTTCATGTATATTTTATAATATTATTTTAATATTATTTTAAAACGCGGATTAAATTAATTATTTAGTAATTAAAAATATATCAATATAAAAAAAAATTTTTATTTAACATTTTATATCTATATTTATTTCTTAATTATTCATGTTATCGATTTAATTGTATTATATTTTATTTATGCGTATAACGTTTCGTATATATTTATAGTAATTTGAAAATATGCAATATATTTATTTAACTTTACGACATATATTATATGTATCGATTCAATAGCTACCATAGGCGCACACATAACTATGACAGCAACTGTGGCGAACGTTGTCTTCAAAGTCCTTGTAAAAGTCGTTTGATACGGCCACAACCCTATGATCGAAAGCAAGAGTTTATTAATTTTGAAATGTTTCGCATCAAAGACATTCATGTTCATGCTTTGACACTCGCGTTCGTATTGCGTTCATATCCGCCTTTAAAAAGGCAGGTATTACTCTTTGCCATTCGGTCTATAGCTGCAGCTTAAATATTCTGCTAGATCCGTGTATATGATGAAATAGTTTTTAATGTCCAAGAAACTAAATAGAGAGAATTTATGATAGCAGATATTCCTTCCTCTCTCGATAGAAAAAAACTTGTTAAGGTTTAATAAGGACACCATATATATTATAGCGTAACAAATGTACAGTACAAATGAATAAATTGAATGAACCGCATAAGCGTTTCCGCAACGCTTACACAATATATTCCTTTGATATTATGATAGATAGCATTAATACAAGCGTAACTTATTTATTACTTTATACAAATCGATATTTACTGAATAGTTTATTACAGACATGATATACCTTCATACATTAACACCTGAGTTGTTGGCATACGAAAGACTAGAAAATATACGCGAGTGGAAAATCTTGCAGAAATCTATGCATCTTGCAGAAATCTATACTTTTAGCGTAGTGAAATCAGTACCGTGCAATAGGAAACCGATGTTCTCATTACCTTAAAAAATATTTATTATGTATACAGCATATTATTTTTTTCTGTTAGTAAACGGATATACTAGTTGCACGGATATACTAGTGTTTCTATATTATAACAGACGATACATTTCCGCGTTCGTACCTTACTGAAACCTTCCAGATTGATGACATATAACTTTGCGATTGTTATTTGGGAGGCTTTCTGACTCCTCGCGATTAGAAACAATAATAACTTTTGCACCTTTACGGATGCATTATACCATATTCCATCATAACTGTAAAAAGATACCGCGAGAATATTTCTTGTGAATTCTGAATAGTTTTATCTTACGCTGCTATCGAGACTTCGACGCTGTGATCAGTCACTTCTTGCCCGGCCCAACTATTGAAAAATAATCGGCAACTTTGCATTATCATAAGAGCTATGTATCGCATAATTTCAGATGATCCCATTCGAACTATGATCTGCAAAAAGTATCGTTTGGCTTGAAAATATTTCCAACAATAATTAACGATAAAAAGATAATATATTTACATTATATTGCCATTTAGGCTTAAGTTCCAAAATTTAAATATTATCTCTCTAAAATCTTTGAAGCAGGATCTAATTTTAAAGAGTGAAATCTCCTTCTTAAAATTGACAATTAAGCCATTTTTTTCAACATTGACTCAATTGTCACTCTTTGTCTCATTCTTTAGAATTAGATTCCACTCCAAAGATTTTAGAGAGTTATGCTCACCATTATACATGAAGAAGTATGCAATAAAAATCCTAATCCAACATCGAAAAAGAGAAACAACGAGATTGTAGATTCCATCATTTCTATGAATCTGGATCGACAAATATCATCAAGATCTAAGTGAAATTTTAGTAATAGATGCAGATATGTTTTTGAATTAGATATAGGTAAGTAAAATATACAGGGTGTTCTAAAAATAATAATAAATCTTTCGCACAGAGGCAGAATGGACTAAACTAAGAAGAAAAGTCCTTTACCATTTTGCAATTTTCGCAATAGTTAACAAGATATTAATTGCTAAAAATTGTCGAAAATTGGTCTTCAATAATTTTTTACTCAAATACTATTAACTTTACAGAAAAACTGCAAGAGACAAAAATTGTTTATATTCTTCTTATAAAGCTCTAAAAAAATTTTTTTTAGAATTTTTTATCAATTTTTTAATACTGTATTATCTTATTTTTACCAACATGAGAAAATGCGGTATTAAAAAATTTTGAAAAAATTCTTAAAAAATTCTTAGAGCTCTATGAGAAAATAAACAATTTTTGTCTTTTGTAGTTTTTCTATAAAATTGATAGTATTTTAGTAAAAAATTATTGGAAACCAATTTTCGGCAATTAATATTTTAGCAATTAATATCTTGTTAACTATTGCAAAAATTGCAAAATGGTAGAGGATTTTTCTTCTCGGTTTAGTCTATTCTACCCCTGTATGAAAGATTTATCGTTACTTTTAGAACACTCTATATAGTATACGAGCATACATGGGGTAGAGAGGGATTTTTTCGTCCATTTCTCGTTTATGTTTCTAAACAACACATGTTGAATATTTCAAGGTTGTGCTTATACTCGCAAAGAGCAATTATGATTGTATAATGTAATTGTAAGCACGTCACTGCAAAGAGATATTATTTGAGATATGAGTTGCAAATTTTCATATTACTTTAAAGTGGAAACTAACAGAATAGTCTCCCTCTACCCTGTGCTATTCCTAAAATAATTGTCACACCAACAATCTTATTCTTTCATGTAGTTGAATGCAATGTCGAACATATCGACCGATTTTCTCGTGAATGTAATCATCGTCTATCCATCGTGAATCATCGTGTGCTGCTAAATTCCTCAGGCGATGACTGCAATAAATATAATTATCTATTTTTATATACATAATTCCTAATTCACAATTTATTCTCTATGAGCAAATTTCACATGAAAAAAATACTTTATTGCAATAATACTGTGCTCTTATCTATTATATGTTTAATATGAGAACATTAAATATACAAACAAAATTTGTCACATTGATGTTACGGTAGTATCTGCTTTGCTGACAAAATAAAAAGATTTTGCCGCGTAAATTTGTTTATAGGAATGTATTAATTTTGCTGTTAACAAACAGTCCAGCAAATGTATTTTACTGTTACAACAAAATTATTACCGGTAAAATATGCGAATAAATTAGAGAAAATAGAAAGAAAAAAAAGTAGAATAAATTGGTTATTGGAACGAGAAGCTATTTTTCAGCGAATAAAATTTATCTTTTTATAGTCTGCTGTCCATATAATGACCAATAAAAGGTCCCCGTGTTAATTATACGGAAAATTAAATTTTAACACATATGTGAAAACTGATTCATTTCATTAGGATCCAATTTTTCTCATAATATATTAGTGCGAGATTTACTAATTACATGGAAAATTGAGCCCCGGTGAAACGAGTTAATTTTCACATACATATATGATGTATGCTTGTAATGTAATAAACAAAATACATCCTAAACACAAGGCCTAATAATGAATAGTTTTTGAACTATAGTGTATCAAAAGTATTAAAACTTATGCTCATAGAGTGAACATACCTTTGTGATCTAAACTATATCTCAATTGTATCCTTTTTTTTCTACACATGATTATATTAACCAAATAATTATTTTAATTAACTATTAATCAGATTTGATTTTAAGCAATTCTCACCACAATACGTCGTACATTCCGCAAATATGCTCCACTAAGAAAATGTACAAAATGTCGGCAGCTACCGCGATCGAAACACATACAACATAACCAATATACAAGATCAGCAAAAGTGTGTAATAATATTTCTCTTGATCGAGAATGACAAAATCTGCGAGATGTGGCAGTTTTCTCGGTCTTGTTTCATTCAGAGGTAAGATGATGTCAAATACAGGTCCGGTGAGAGGTAACAAAGCGTAGCAGAATACAAATCCGATTACACTAACTGCATAAAGAAAAACGAATAAAATACTCCTTTTGTTTTTTTCCTTTACAAAAATTAAGACGCGCAAAACAAATAAATATTTTAATTCATAATTATAAATATATTAAAGCTAGCGATTATATATTTATTTGTAATTTCTTTTTCATTTCTCATCTTTACTTTAATATTTCATTAAGATGTGTGTGTTTAAAATATTTATATATTTTTTAATTTATCCAAGATATCGAACCTTCTATTGTTAATACTTAATTCAAATAAATCCGATATTTACCAGTGCGAAATTAATTTCATACTTGAATATGCCAACATGAGTTTTCGACTTTTTTCAGCATAATGCGTTAAAATTTGCGTTTCCTCACTGACCAATAGATTGTTCCAATCATCTTGCATATGTTGCAGAAGCCCCTTAAACTGAAGCGACGTTCGTTCAAAATAAGCCGATCCGACGCGATGATTATGCTTACCATTTTGGAATTGCAAGTCAGACTGGTGATTTTTGCAATACATATCACTGTGCCAGCTAGAATTGGCATGAGCTCGAACATATTATCCAAATCATCCACATGCTTGAACATATATGCAATCTAATAATAAATAATGAATATATGATGCATTGATTATATTTCACATAATACTCGGGTAAAATGTAAACTCGCGTTTAAATAATTGTTTCTGTGACATATAAAGAATATAATTATTATTTGGATTAGTATATGTCAAACTTTTTTTTTATATATAACTTAATTTATATATTTTCTTTAAATTCAACTCTATTCTCTAAAATCTTTGGAGTGGGATCTAACTCTGAAGAGTGACAAAGAATGACAATTGAGCCATTTTGTTGAAAAAGAGTGGCTCAACTGTAAATTTTTAAGAGTAAGGTTTCATTCTTCAGAAGTACATTCTACTCCAAAGATTTTTAAGGGAGTAATATTATTAATGTATCATCCAGCAAACTACCTGTGGCGCGCACATTATTGTAACGCCAAATATGGCGAACGACTGAGTTAGAAGCTTTATGAAGGATGTTTGATATGGCCAGAGACCGATGAAAGACAGAAAGAACTTGTTAATCCTAAAATAGCGCGTGTCAAAGAAATCCATGGTTTTGCTATACTGAATAAGAATCCGTAAATATTCTTCTTGCTATAGCAGTATCCGTCTCTCTCTCTTCTCTTTCTTTCTCTCTCTCTCTTTCTCTCTCTCTCTCATTCTCTCTTCTTTTTTTTTCAACACCTTCTTTAGTATTCCGTTAAAACCTCGTTATGGGAAATGTACTAAAGATACGCAATATGGTGGCAATATCAACAGTATTACAACTTAAGAAGAAAAAATGAAATGTACGATAAATGGAATTTGTAATATTGCCGCTGTATGCTTTAAAGCTTTGAAGACATCTCGTATTATTATTTCATATTCTCGGTGCCACGAAGTGCATGACTAAGACCGTATCGATTAACGTGTCGAATGTCTTTTATCTCTTCATAAAACTGGACGTTGTCACTATAAATGTACAAATTTCGATAAAAGATAATATATTCTTAGTTTAATATTTAAATTTATTGTGAAAATACAAATATCTTTTGCAGCAGCAATGATAAACAATTTAGTTTTTATAAACATTGTGTTCTCTATTGATGTTACTGTCACACTGTATACCACTGAATATATTCTCTAAAACAAGATTTTAACAGTTTTGTGAAAGTCCATTGTTTATCAAACAGGAAACAAAAGTAGCTCATTTTTTTTCTCAAGGTATTTCATATGCCTCTCCATGGTTTTATAACTTTTTTGGAATGGCAAACAAATTTATTTCTGAAGCAGTATATTGATGTATTGTATATGTTTAAGTAAAAACATTTACGCGCGCACAATACTATTGTTAAATATAATATTTAATTCTAAGAAAATAGATCGAACGAGCAATAGTAAAAATATACGTATTATGATAATTCCAGGAAATCGTGAAACGTTTCACAGTGAAAGGTGGTTATTTAATCGATCAATGAAGGGGACACTGCCTTTGTGTCGTTTCGAATCTTTGGTTGCATGAGGGAAAATTATGTGAAACATTAAAATCAGGAATTATATGAAACATCAAAGTTATGAGTCTTATTCTATAAAGCAAAAAAATACCGGATATGCGCACACGTGAATAAATATATCTATATAATTTTAAAAATTTGTATAATTTTTGTAAAAAATATTCTTTATCTCTTTTTTTCGCGAAACATCGGAGATACGTACATATATTTATATTATTTCTGATGTGAGATACGTCGCTTTATTATGATGATTATAATCACCTTCCTTTATAAAACACACTGATGATTTTTTTAAATATAATAATTGTAAAGATACATATAATATAATTTGCAATAGTATCTCTATCTCATGGATAAAAAAGTCATGAAATATGACATGGTAGTTTGCATCATCTTAAAATTGAATATCAATCTATTACAATGTTATATAGAATTATAAAAAATATTTTTTCTATATATGTAAATTAGACGTAATTACCGAACTGCACATAGTCATAGACAGAACAAACATCTTTCCAGCCGTGAGTGTACATGGAGAGAAACTTCTATAAAGAAGTATTCTTAATAATCTTCTAGTTTTTATGGAAAATGTATACCATGCTGAACCGTACCTAACATAAAATGCATGATAAAATTGATTGATTCTTTTATCGATATCAATGTAAATTACAATGTAATAATCAATGTAATAAGTCATTTATAATTATTATATATGTGTGATAATTTTACATAATGTTAAAAAACAATGACAGCATCGCCGTTCAAAGATTCACTGTTTCAGAAAATTTTTTTACGTATAAATTTATGGATTTCAATATGAATTAGCATTAATTTTAACATTAATTGACGTTATGACTTAAATTAAATCTTACAATTAACAAAAAATTATTTTAATCGTATAAAATTGGATACTATCGATAAATAGGCTTATGACATCTTTTTAAAAATTATTGTGGAAAAATTGAGAAACTATTTAAAAAATTAATTAAATAATATATAATAATTTATTATTAAATACCGTAAGATCTTAAATATTTCTCTTATTTGCTTCCAAAGATGAAAAAACTTTATACAAAACTTAAATACTTACGCCTTATCGAAAACTTTTGTGCTTCGATCTATCAACAATTGTCCAGGAATACACATGCATACGAAGTGCAAAAACACAGCGCAAATAAAAAAAAAGGATCTTATTATCTCGTTGATGTTTTCCAGGTTTTCGATAAGCTGCAAAATTTAAGTATCGTGTTATACAATGTATTTTTCAATAAAGATATACGTACTTCTTAAAATACACACCTGTATTCCGATCACACTCAAATTCAGCATATTCAGAAATAGAATAATGAACATTGCTTGAGTGAATGTAGAGTTCAGTATTTGGACATATCTAAAGAAAGAGAGAAAAATCGGATAAAATAATTTAATATAAACGATCGAGTGATAAGTGACAATATTGTTATCAAGTAGACTGTTATTGTTATTGAATAGATTGTTAATATAGACAACAGAAATGTACGCGTAGTACTCTAATGCAAGTTGATGTCTTTTCAAGCATATTATCAATTCACGATAATCATTGCCAGTAGAACCGTGTTTCTCCATCAATAGATGATAATGTCTTCCTATATATTTTTTGTTGTTGTCTGATTTAGTTTCTGCTTTAACAGTAATGTTTTCCAGACGATGGCTTTGAAATTAAATATTGTTAATTAGCACGTAATTTTGATCGTAATTTTTATTTTTATTCATTCAAAAATAAGCAAAATGTTTAGAAACATTTGTTTGTAAAAAATATAAATATAAGATCTTATTTTAATTTTATTCACCTGATAGCTATAAATAAACTGCAAGCATGCAACACGCACATTATATACGTAGTATCCACAGTGAACGCAATTGTAATAGTAATTAAAGTCGTAGCGTAACAATGAAGTAATATTGGATAATAATATTTTTCTTTGTCTACTCTGTATTCAACCGAATATACGTATATCAATGGCCGCGACTCGTTCAGCGGTTTTACGACGTCTAAGATTCTTGGTATCAATGGAGTTAGCAAATAAAATATTGTAAAGATGATAAAATATACTGCAAAAGGAACATACATATGACTTATTAACTGTATAAAATGTTAAAAGACTTCTTTTTCTTCTTCTTCTTATATGCTTGTGGTGCACACGCTAATTATTCAATTGCCACAAGCATATGGGACCTACAGTTTTAATGCCGGCTCCGAACGGCGGATTTTTCGAGAGGTGTTTCTGTGGGCAAGGATACTCTCGGGAGGTTGCCGACCTTTTCCGAGAGGAGACACGAACGTAAATATTTTAATTGACCTACTGGATTGAATCCGAGATCTCTAACATGAATAACATGATAGACCAGTGCCATGCCACGCTCGCGCTCGAGTTCTTTTTCAACATGGTTATTTTGTAATTCCATAAATATTTTGTAAAAATATATGGAAATTTTAGATTTTGAAAAAATTAATTTTAATTATAAAAAAGCTCTTCTTTTTTTTATATATATATATTTACACTAGAAAAATTGAACATAAAATTTTTGCAATTACAATATTTTAGTCGATGACACATCATAATTTGTCTGTAAAGATTTAAAAATTATTTATTCCTGTACCTCCAAAGTATTTTGTCACTTTTTGGCTGATACTAGCGTAATATTTCATAATATGACGTTCGAATTCGCTATTAAAAAACTCCCAGTGTTCGCACATAAGTTGCAATAACCGTCGGAACTGATCAACAATACAGAAAGATAATGATAAGCGAATACACATTATAGTCCAAGATCCCGCCGCGAGTTTGTGCACCTATCGTATATGCAGATGAAACGTAAAAAAAATCGAAGTTTGTGTTACCCCGGATCTACAATAGGTGTTTTAAGCCTTAAACCGTAAGAAATTGATCAATTACAAATCCGAGAAGAATAAGCGACTGTGATTCGCCTATTTCTTATGGCTTAAGGGGATGCTAAACCGATTACCCAACTCAATCAGAGTCGATAGTATAGACTTTTTTAATTCCAAATTCGATAATAGTGATGACATCTTCGATTTAGTTTTTACATTATATAATATATTATATAATATATATTCTGTCTTACTCAAACGCATACATCTGTTCTTATCTAACATATGCCAGCATCATCTATCGCAAAACCGCACAACTACTGTTACACGGAATTTCGGCTCTGTTGACAGTCCCAGTCTTCGCAAAACACCTGTATACACGTATTTTCTATTCGATGGAAATATTTCTTTTCTAGACTTTCAATCTTAGTTCTACAAACTCGGTATCGTTTCAATAATACAGAAAGTGACCTCAGCTGCACGCTTATTTTCAAGATATGGATTCTAAAACTCTTATATCAAGCAAATATATATCTGAGGTGACAGCTGTACGAGCCAAAAGTAA